CTACTCCATTCTTCATACCGATTGCCACAGCCCTAACCTTTCTGTCGTCATATGTTTTACACCATTTTACCACTTCTGAGGGCTACTTTCCACCAGTCGGAACATCTGAAGTCACAATTTGTACGTCTCCTTCACTAAAATTCCAATGTTGGACTTACCATTTGGGACGTGTTTGCAGAGGCGATAAATATTCCCGTAGCCACTTTTTCCAAAACACACTAGCCATACTTTTCTCTAATGCTGTCTTCTACAATTCCGTCACATTCCCTCAACAACAGCAAACTATCTGGGACAAAGCTAGTTTATAATCATAGTCAGGTTAACTGGGATTAAAGATGGAATTTTTAGGATTCTTTCAACCAACCAGATAAGTGGCCAAGGTCTTATCGATCAGAGATTATTCCTCAGAGACCAATAGTAACAGCCAGCGTATAAACCTAGACAACCTTTACCATACTCCACTCCTGTGGCTGGATGATGGCGAGATTGAAATGCCATTGGTTCTACTTCGTTGCCTATCATCCCATGATTCAATTGCTGAGCAGACTTCCTTTTGTTCATAAACCATGCATGTTAGATCCATTTTGAAAGTGAAAATCCCTACATGCATACATTTGTGATTTCTTCCTTGTGGTTTCTTTATTTGTATATATTGTTAACTTTTTTGATGCTAATTAAGACTGTAACGTTTAATTTTCTTGGTTTTCTTATCGCTTTGACTGAGTCTCTATGTACCTTACTGAACTGTATTTAGTTTGTTTTAAATGTTATTATTCTGGCGGCTGCCATATTGACTGCTCGCTCTTTGATTGTGCGGTTTGATTTTGACTGGGATCGTGCATTTTTGGTTGTAATTTGGAGCACTTCCCCAGAAATTGAAACACTTTGTGTTATTAAACAGCCGCTCAACCGGAATCTTACTTTATCTATCCAGAAACGATAGAATGACACTCACCTTTTGGCGTTTTCTGTAATTTTCATATATTTCTTACCACTTTGCTATTCGTTGTAATTTAGATTGAATATTTTGGTATCAATTGTCGGTTGAATAACTGGGTGGTAATATTTGTTTAGGTAAATTTGTACATTTGTATATATGATGAAATTTAGAACCGTTATTACCCCCAAAACACCTTGTCCTGATTTCGAATGGAGGTGCGCGTCTCTAATTTTACTCGTCAGTTATTCAACTAATCAAACCTAGTTGGAAACTAGGTTTGGATCTTACGGTGCGTATAAAACTTGATCTGTTGTCGCTGCATATTTCTGTGTACCTCCCTCTTCCTCACATAAAACGCAATAAAGAATCAGTGTTTAGGCTATCTCAATATGTAAAATATAAGTACATCGGTAAGACTTTGAACGTTGTTTGTTGATATCAAGTGCAAAGTATCAAAACGTTGCCCCATATAGTGATAAGTAAGGTTTTCAGAGTCAAAACGACAACCCCTGGTTGGATAGAAACAGAGCATCAAATTCAAAGCCATAAGCGGATCAAGTTTAAAGCCTGGGTAACACAAATAAAATCAAAGACCAGTAAAAAGGTTGATTTTCACACAAACAGTTAGTTATTAATCAGAAGCTTCAGAACAATGCATTGCTAGCCGTTTACTATTTCACATGATTTGTTGACTACGCAGCAATATTTCAATTTTGATATTAACCACTGAATGCTTTTTTCGACTTAGTGAGTTACATGAAAAATACTACAACAAAGTTTGACGTTAGTTAACATGAATTTCCCAACAAATGTTCCTCGGTTTCCGATAGCTCCATTCTACAATTGTTTCTCTATCGTTCCTCCTCAACAGAATGCATAAACAACCAATGAATTCCGTGACCACCCTCTAAGATATTTGCTGCCTTGTTGATTACTGACAGCAGCTCCACCACAACTCAGCATGCATCCGTGATTACGCTTGCGCAGCACTCGGACCAGCGAATGGTAAGCCTTTCATTCGGTACTACTCAGCATCGTGAGCCTGTAGTGGCATTTGACCCCAACCACACATTCCTTGAAACCGAACATGAGATAACTGGGAAAATAGACTTTCAAGTTGCAACACCATGAGAAGGTCAGTAATGGTGAGCGGTAACATTCATTTCAAATTAGAATAATACGATTCCATGGCTAGGCCAAGCAAGCGTGATCATTCATGTTTAGACCATACCTTTTATTCATATCAAATATACTGTTTTATCTTCGACCTGAATGTGTTCCCCATTATGTATTGGTGATTTTTGCGATACTATGAGTCGGTATAGACAATGATGTGACTTTCACGTAAGATCTTATAGATTAGGCAGTTACATCACGACAAATCTACCATTTTAGGATTGGGTTTGCTATCAGAGAAATACTAACTTCAGAGTAAACCATAACTCAATAAACTTATTTTCACACAAACTGTAACTCTGCACTTCTCAGCTGTGAATATATTGAGCTTGGCTTTTAGACATTATACGATGCACTGACCATCCCCAATCCCACTCTTGATGCTGTGATGGCATCCTCGTCTAAATGTAGCTTACTTGAGTTCATAGCATACATGGATTTCCTCAGTCCCTACAAATATGCAACATAAGACAACCCAAACTTTTCAGTCATAATGTATCACAAAAGATTACCTAGCAAATCCAGAAGCCAGAAAGGCTGACGACAATAAATGATTGAATAACATAAAGGAGGGACGAAACCGAATTCCTGATCACACGCTCTAGCTTCTGAATTCATCGAGATCGACTTGACATTATTGTTACTCTATTAACTTGTAGCAGACATAAATCTTAGCGTTAATCTAACTTATATTATGATATATTGGTGTGTATAATCCTAATATCAAAGTTTTTGTTGCTACGATAATTTTTGCTGATGCACTTTATGTTAATATCTGGGGTATTAGATGTGTTCCCGTTTTAAGAAAACCATTCACTTAACAGTTTGGATATGACGGTTTAGTCCTAATACGCCACGCCATTGTGCGGTAAACAGTGAATGATTCTCTATGTACATATTGCAGTGCATATGTACACTATATAAGCTATTAGTTGTCACATTTATTGCTTGTCTGAACAAATCATTACGCGAAATTACTTAACCGTGCTCTATTGCCACCTAATGAATAAATAAGCAGGAAATTCTGTCATATGGCGCCCATTCAATGTCGTCTCAAGAGCAGCTTTCTTCCTTGATAGCACCAAAAACTCACCATCAAACAGGTGGTCCAAGCACTGAATACATTATATTCAGATCAACTGACATACCTCGCTCACTTCACTGTAACACTGATTGGCACATACCATGACGACATACGACAGCGTAGCATTGTAGACACACATCAAGACAACTAGCTAGAGTCCCACTGATGATCGTCACTAATGCCAAGAATCTGATACAGATAAAATGTATGATCTCTACACATAGCTTACCTAGCCGCTAAGTTGATTTCGAGAAAACATATATTTTCGACGATCAAAGCTGGGAAAATTGACACAGTCCAACAATTAACCGGTAATTTTTTTGGGTAATAAAAATGTCCTGATAGGTAAGCTTATTTGACACTCGGTAACATTCATATATATATTTTGTCGAATGAAAAATCACATTATTTGTACCAGTAGGCTTTTAAGAACTAAGGTATGGATGACCATTTGTGGCGATTTGTAACCGTCTACCCTTATGATAGAACACAGATTAGCTTGTGAAAGATGTAGTTCGATAATTTTTTAGTCATTTATTAACTATAAAGAAGTGATTTGCGTTAAGTCATGAAACGAAAAAGTGCAAATTGTATACTTATCTCGACATAACAATGAGTGCATTATTATGCTCATCCGACAGTTATATCGAAGGTCTGTCAATTATTGTTATGAATTGAATCATAATCTTTTTTAGTAGTGACAAAAGCATGATAACTGTGAACCTGTATATAGCATGAGCTTGCTCATGAGACTGACGAATAAATATCACGATTTCAACGAGCATCAGGAGTTTTAGCGCTCGACCCTTGTGGTGCACATCAAAGGAAATCTAATCAAGACATGATATTATTCAGAAAAAATAAGAATAATCAGTTAAATGTAACTGAAAACACTAAAATCGAAAAACGAAAAACCTAATAGTAAGAACGAAGTTATTTAGGTTAAAAGCAAAAAAAATAATAGCAACTGTTATGTATTGAAAAGTACTTTGAAGTAACTATTTCATTAACCACAACAAAAGAATTTTATGTTTGAAATCATCAGTCAATTGAACCTAGACCACTATCGAAAACCTGGAAGCACTGGACGGCCGTTTCGTCCTTTTATGGGACCCCTCAGCAGTGCGCATCCACGATCCCGCCTGGCGAGCGAGATTCGAGCCCAGGACCTAGCAGTCTCGAGCCAGATCACCTAACTGATAGACCACTGAGCTGGCCGGCATCCAACGGTGTTAATGTCTAACTTCAACCAATCCACGATTTTGAGCGACCGTTCACAAAAAAATAGGTTTTCACTCAATCACCAAATACTCTGCAGTACGTACTAATTGATTTCATAAGTGAACATATAAATCAAATAGCGGAAAAATACCGGAGGTTTTAGGGCTTCACGACTTTGTTGCTCATAAAGCTTTTTTAATCGAGAATCCCAAAGCCAGTTAAACCAGAATTAAGGATAGAATAGGTGTGAAGTTCTGATTGAATTTATGTGACACTGTATGATCTGTTACTGCCTTAGAATTCCACCTAGTCATTCCTATTGTGATTCTAAAATTTTCCAGTATTCAACGAACCGGTTAACTATTTTGAAATCTCGTTTCCACAATTAAAACGCATTAAATGTAGCCCAAGACATTTATTCCCCAAACAGTTGTCCCTAGATTGGTCACAATGCTTGATACCAAATAAATTGAATCATATATTAAATCCAAGAGTTGAAATCGAAATAGCCAGTTGGTTCACTCTATCGAATTGTAAGTACATTGGATACTGAATTGTTTAAATAAATCACATAGGCACTTGAACTTACTCGGTGGTAATACAAATAGTATGGAAAGTGTATTAAGTGAGCTTCGAGAATTAGGTGAGCAACTCGCAACTTATATCCAGCATGTGAAGCTTCTAAAAAATGAGGAAGATATTAGTTCACTTAAAAAGGCAATATTCAGCCTGGAGAATGATCTTAAACTACTTCGAACGTCATATGAATGCCAGATAAATCACCTGAGTACTACTCTAACTATTGTACTGGACGAAAAGAGAGATTTGGAGAATGAAATTCTAGTAAGGAAAGAAAATGATGCTCATTTTCTGGATAGGTTTACTTTTTTACGATTGGTATGTATTTTGCAGGATCTCAGTAGAGTCCTCTAAAAATGCTAAACTTCTTATGGAGATAAGTCATCTTAAAACTGATGTTGCGGAAAAAAATAATCAGATCATGGCGCTGAAAATGCATGTGCAGGAGTTGGAGACACATGGAGAAGAGAAAGAAACAGTGAAGTTGAATCTTACTGAGGAAATAAATCTTCTGAAGCAAAAGTATTATTCTTTAATACTTAAGTTAAATTAAAGACTTTCAATGTCTGAGGATCTGTATACTGAGACTGCTAACCAGCTTCAAAGTGCATTGTTGAAAATAAATTCTCAAAAATTGTTTGCGAAAGAGGTTAGTTATCTTCCGTTTTATGTTTTCACCAATTGTCAAGTTTTGTATTTAAAAAAATATTCTTGTCTTGTAGCGTCTTAGTCGCAGTCAAAACAGAATACAATGGTATATTTCTCAGTTTGCTGCAAAGGATTTTCAAGTTGAAGAATCTCGCAGAAGAGAAGCTTCCATTTCTACTGCCATCTCTCAATTACGTGCCAAAGCACAGGAGGAACTTATTCAATACCGTCAACAAGCTTCAGAAATTTACAAAAAACCAGTAGGCTCTAGTTGATGTTTTTCTACTCTAGATTAACTCGTACTTTTAAACACCTTTTAAAATAACTTGCCTATTGCCTTTCTAGATAGCAACTTTGCAAAGTCAGTTGGCTTCGGAGAGAAAAGAAAATCAATTGTTGAAGACCAAGTGTCTGAAGAATGATCAAACAATTCTTAACTTGCAACGGCAAGTTGCTGAATTGAATTCTAAAGTTTGTTGTTCAAAATATCTATAATTTCTTAGATTAACAGCACTGAACATCATACTGAACTTTTGAAGAATGCTTTGGAAAGTTTGGGGAAGGAGCATAATCGCCTAAGAAGTAACTATGAAGATAAGATTCAGAGACTGGAGGCTTCTATAGCTTCTAGTGCCGCTGACTTCGACTCTATGAAAAGTAAAGAGAATGAAGTTATGAGAGAAATATCAAAATTTAAAAGCATGTTGAATTTAGAGGAAGAGAGTCCCCACTCACGGATATATAACAAACAAACTAATCCAATTAATGGGGAACTGGTTGATGAAGGGGATTTAGAGTGTTCGGAAAATGATAAAAAGTAAGATATTTGTGTTAAATGTGGTGTTCCTTCATATTTTGACACCTGTCAATACAGAAGTTATTTTACATAAGTAAATAGAAGGAAAGTTCAGTGTTTTTTAAAGAAATGACTTGGTGTATAATTAATTAGTAACCTTTTGTTTTTGATTTTATGGATTTGTTGATTTGAGATCATAAAGACTAGCGATATACTTAAAATTTCATGGTTTATGAAACTGTGAACCAAATAAGTAATAATTTATCTTACTGACGCTCAACAACTGGATCATATTTGTGAAACCTGTTTTTTTCTATTAGTATCTTAAAATGCAGTTGGGGATAATCTGTATGTGTTGTGGTATATTTATTTGTCCTCTCTAAATCGATGCACAGCTCTATCACAATTGAAGTAAAATGCAAACATGATACTACATGAAGCAGAAAAATAGGTGTTCTCATTGTTTGCGCATCTTACTCCTGCGTTTGACCTTCAATCATTTTATGTCGACAGCCGGGGATATCTGTATCCCTGGTGGAATTGTGTATTATCCCAATCTTTTCTTTAAACTCAAATTAAGTTGACTCATTAGGTTTTACTGATGACATCTGTCGTTGGTATTCTCAGTCTTCAAAAACTGTAATACAATGAACTTAAGTCTAACGAAATTACGTTAAGATTTTTGCTATTTAATATTAACCTCAGTCAATTTAAGCTAATTAAAGAGCTTTTGCCTTTCAGAATCGAATTCGACAGAACCTATGGACCGAAATCTATCTCACACTCAGATTGTACTGTTTCATCAAAAGGCATTCACCCTTTCGTAATGGAATCAAATGATGAACTCCGCGACACTTCTGAGAATATTGATGTTGAGTTACAAAACTGTGATCAAGTAAACTATGACATGAAGAAATTTGGTGTAAATTCTTCCAAAAATGCAATAATAGGTACACAAATTGGTGGCTCAATACCTGGTAGTCCAGGGTCGTCGATGTCTTTATCAGGGTCCAAGTAAGAGCTTTTATTTTAGATACTCATTCAAAAACAATTATTGTTTGAATGCAAAAATGGTTGGTGGGTAGCAGTGGAATCCAGGACGCGGGTTTCAATTGCAGTCCTAAACATCAATGGAAGGATTAAAACAACCAATGCAAAAAGAATTAAATTTCACCCCATTGCACAAGCTAGTGCTTTTCTAAACTTTGTAGCTAATTGGGCAACGTGATAGTGTTTGAAGCGAACGGTGCTGGGTTTGAGTCGAGGAGTGAACATCAACTCTGGGGTGCCTTACATCCGGATGACGTGTTCCAGATAGGACGAAGTGTCGCATGTCCTAAATTCCATATCTGGTCACCATCTTTCTTTGCTTATAATACTTGTGACTGAAGGCATTATCAGTCAGTCGGCAACAACGTAGGACCAGGCACATATATGCATCGATCCAAGTTGCCATACCTCGTTAGCACAACAAGATCAACATCGGATTCATAGAAGTAATTAATTTAGTGGTGGTAGTATATAAAGAAAGGTTGTATATAAGGATATAGTATAGGAAGGAAAAAAGTTATGAAGCAATTTTAATTTTAAGGTTTAAGGGAAGATAAAGAGTGTATACACCTACGCCACTGTGATCGATTCTGAGCCATGTCACCCAGAGTCTCCAACCATTGGTTACGATAGTCACGCAGACCCCAACCAGGTAGTCTGCATCTACCAACATGGATCAGGCTAGAAGTTAGTGACTTCAAGCACTGATGACATGCTTTGGTTTGGCAGCCCCTAACTTTCTTCCAACCATCCTCTACACTAGTCAGCATAGCGCGTTCTGATAATCGGTGTTCAGGCATACGTAAATCGTGGCCCAACCATCTCAGTCGATGAAGATTCATCACCTCATCAACCGATTTACCATCATTCCCTAATACCCTATGTCTAACCTCACTATTACTTACCCGGTTATACCAGAAGGTGCGAACAATATTTCTAAGACATCTGTGGCAATATCGAGACAATCCACACGTGGTGCATATATGCTAATAATAGACTGGTCAATTGAAGTCGTGAACAACAATGGGAAGATACAAACAAACAATACCAAGTATATTTCTAATATTATATTGAAGTTATAAATTATCCAGTCTCTTAAAAAATAATCATCAAACTACAGCTTTACGTCGATTAACTGAAAAATATGATAGAATTTGCAGTAAAGAAAGGTTTTCAAAAAGATAATGAAATTAAATTTTGACGAGGCTATAATTTATAGACCAACCAATCAGCTATAAGATAACAAGTTTTGGATTTTGGCGTGAAATTCATTCATCAATTTAGCTAAATAGAGTTTTGTTATTATAGCTGATGTCAGTTCGTGATGAAAACCCTAAATGTAGTTCCTGACCTGAACTATCAACTGTAAATCATGATTGTAATTCCTCACACAGGTTTATAACTCTCACTTGGTCCTAGTTATTAGGTAGACTATCTCAAGGTCAGTTTAGCGTCGCTCAAGGGTCTTCCAAAAATTTGTGATCTCACTCAAAATTTTATTTAATAGTTGAATTCGTGATTCAATTGAAGCCAGATCACCACAGAAAACCTGGAAGCACGGAACGGCCGTTTCGTCCTGGTACGGGACTTCTCAGCAGTGCGCATTCATTATCGCACACAGGCGAACGCTTCGACTCTAGACCACTGAACTAGTATCCAATGATGCTAATGTCTAATTTCAACCGATTCATAACCTGCATTTTGTAATAATGTTAAAGTTTTTAAAAAATCTTTATCCCGACTTCTTGATTCGGGTTAAATTAATGAAGATATCATTAAATTTAAATAAGGTACATACATAAGACCTCTCTATGGGAATTATTATTATGTTACAAATGTAACAACTTAAGTCAGATATCTTTCCTATGGCTATTTAATATATCTGTATTCCTATGCCGCTTGGTTGTTTTGTTTTTTTAATTTCTTAAGAACAGTGAAGGTAGTTAGCACTTTGTTGTGTGTAGTTTTAGCTTGTTCTGTTCATTAACGAATAGTAATCAATATTGATTAGTAGTTCATTCATATTGAATTATTTACTTTAAGTAAGGACAAATCTTTTATTGTTAACAAAGAATATAGTAAGTCCTCCCTTCTGTAATTGACATGGTAGTGATTGTAAAATGAAGCTACTTCAGTTCACTAATCACGTGAATCAAAAAATACGATATCCAGTTATTTTATTTTGTTAACCCTTATGATATTTTGAAGCATTATATTGATCTTTCGATCAAATTTACTTTTTTTTTCCAAATTGAAATTAATAACATAGTTCCTAAGTATAATGGTACTGTCGAGGGTGGGTGTAGTTAGCTTTCCTTTTTTCAAATGGACTCACATGGCCATGCATATATGGTCACTGCCTACTCGTGGCAGAAGTGTCATTTACGAAATTGAGAGGACGAAAAGCGAATGACCGGAGCATTAATCAGGTTGGTTGATATGGAGGATCTAACTAGAGGAGTTAGAAAACCCTGATTCCACACCAGTGGTACATATAGGCTTCGGGATCCTTAGGGAACAAAAGGCGTATGAACCTAGTGTTGGTCATCGGCTACCATTGGGTTGCATCTACTAACGTTGCTCCACAGCTTTGTGTATCAGACCATTAAGTTGAAGGTTCGAGGAGTGGCTCTCTAAAAAAACACAACCTGCTTCAGTTTGGGAATTCGGGCAATATTCCAGCTCTTACACAAATCCAACGAACCTCAGGCAATCAGTTTTAATGAAACCATCATTAAGATTCTTAAAGTTAAGTGAAATTTTAGTTCAATACTGTCTTCATTTGACTGATAATTTTTAAAGTATGATCACTTGGTAAGGTTCATTTGTCTGTTTGTTAACGGAAAAATTTATCATTTAAGAAAATTGTTGTGTAAGTAAAATTTCAGTAAGGTGAAAAATTGAGCGATTGTAGCAATTTTAGTAGTTGAATTTATGAGTTGATCTAAGCTAGACTAGGTTAGTGGATGTTCACTGCTAACGAGTCTTATACTAGGATGCAACGATTATTCAGTGCTTTCAGGTTTTCCGTGGTAGTCTAGCTTTAATCAGCTCATGAATTTAACTGTTAATATTTAGCCTTAAAACTTATTAATTGTTTCTTGAAGTCAAAATATCTTTTATAATAATAATAATAATTATTTTTTAAACACATAAACATAGGTACAAGGAGGCATCAGATAGCGAGGTATCACATGAATCACTCGATTTTTGTATGAGCTGTGATACTGCCCCGGAGCCCAGACCAAAGAAGGTGGCTATCTTAGAGAGCCCTACCTGGAGCCTTTGACCTAAAGGTCTGATCCACAAAGCAGTGGAGCAACGTTGGAGATACAGTCCCATGGTAGCCGGTTACCAATAATAGGTTCATACGACTTTTATTCTCTCAGGATCCCCGAGCCTATGTACATCACTGGTGTGGAATCAGGGTTTTCCAACTCTTCTAGTTGGATCCTCCATATCAACCAACCCAGTTAATGCTACGGCCATTCGCTTTTCGTCCTCTCAATTTCTTAAACAACAGCTCTGCTAGAAGAAGGCAATGAGTAGGATTTTCCTGTCAGTGACTGTATGCACGTGTCCATATGAAAGCATTTGGAGAGGGAGAGTTGACTCACCGCACTCGACTGTACCGGGGTATTTCGGTGTAGTTTCTACGACGAAATAAAATTATTTCTCAAGATCTTTGAAATATTAAAAAAGAATTGCCAAGTTCTTTATATTATTTAAATGTTAAAAAACAAATTCGATGACTAAAATTCTTTTTTTTTGTTTCCAACATGTGAAGTGCTATTGGATATTTACAAATTTGTGAAATTGATCCTAATGGTGAGTATTTACTTCTATGGAATTCAAGTACAAACAAGGTAAATTTATTAAACAATTATCACTATTAAATTTAATTAGTATTTTTTGTTTTAATCTTCCCATCGATGTATTAGGACTGCAACTGGTCACTCTCTAATTGGCCATATGTGCATATTGTGCGTATTCCCTCGATGTAGCCTTAATTCACAAGCATGGTAAGCAAAGATGATTAGTGGCTAGCAGTGGAATCCAGTTTGACGCGTGTTTCGTTCTATTTGGGACTCGTTAGCTGGATGTACCTGCATCTCAGAGTTGATGTTCACTCTGGGTCGAGTGGATAACGCTATTGCGTTCGAAGCAAAAGGTACTGGGTTCAAGCCCCAGAGTGAACATCAACTCTAAGATGCAGGTACATCCAGCTGACGAGTCCCAAATAGGACGAAACGCGCGTCAAACTGGATTCCACTGCTAGCCACTATCCATCTTTGCTTACCATAAATATTATTATTATTATTATTATTATTATTATTATTATTATTAATGTTTTAATGATCAAGAACACTAGGGGGACAATCAAGTCTATTCAAGCACAAATGACAGACTATCTCACAACCACACGGTAAACAGTTAATTTGCAAACTATCGATCAATTGTCTCAATCTTGACCATTCCTCCTGCAAATATCAATCCATCTTCTCTGATTTCACTGCTCATGCATTTTCGTACTGATTGCGTTTCATTTCTGTTCGTTCCTTATCGAACTTCTGCCAAAATACATTCTATTTCTAATTATCACCATATACTGCTTATGTGGGTATAAGTAGACCACACCATACTATTATATGACATTCAGTAAATTAATGAGTTTTATATAGTTGAGATCATGAATCAATTGAAGCTAGACCACCGTGGAAAACCTGGAAGCGTTGGAAGACCGTTTCTTCACATTAGTCTATCTAAGCTAGACTACTGAAACCTGTAAGCACTGGACGGCTGTTTCTTTCTAGTATGGGACTCTTCAGCAATGCGTATCCACGATCCCTTACGCGGGACTCGAGCTTAGATCGACTCATGAATTCAAACTATTAAAATTACTACAATCTCCACAAATCTCCATTCTGATAATTATTACTTTATCTAAAAACTGAGTGTTAATCTGTATAAATGAATCACTCAATATTTAGTGTATTCAGACATTATTTTGATTTATTTTTGATGCATAATAAATCCTTACCCATCGTCTCCATGTTCTGAATAGCATCGTGAGATCCAGTTTCCAGTAACATGTAACAACCCCCAAATGCCCTGGTACGGCCGAGAGTGAGGAGAGTCTTTTCTCCCTCCCTTTCACATGGCCACGGGTATATAGCCTCTGCCAGGGAAGTCCTACTCACTGACTTCTCGCATCACGGGTTTTGTTTACGAAATTCAGATGACGAAGAGCGAATTTCCGGCGCTGTAACCGGGTCGATGGACACGGAGGGTCCACCTAGGGCAGTTGGAAAACCCTGATTCCGAAACAATGGTAGACATGGGCTCCAGTATCCCGAGGAAACAAATGGCGTGTGAATCAATCGTTGGTGACCGGCTACGATGGGATTGCATCTCCTTACGATGCTCCACTACCTCGTGAACCAAACCTTTAGGTCAAAAGCTCCGGGTGTGGTCCCCTAAGAAAACCTTCTGCTTCAGTTTGGTCACCTGGGCGGTATCACAGCCCTCACACAAATCAAATGAGATTTTTGTGGCGCATATATATCTGGTGCTCTTTTGTACCAATATTTATGTGTTTAAATAAAATAAAAATAAAATGTACCAACTCTCAGTCGTTATTACACAGAATATTATAATATCTTGACTAAGTTAATAGGTCCCAACTAAGAATGAGAGCTAATTGGTATTATTTTAGTTTGAAAATTTAAAAGATACACTGATATTGATGTATTCATTCCTCTCAATACTATCTGATCAAAAAATAAAACTAGGTCTCATTACAAAGGAATATTAAAAATCCGAAGGTACTGCAGACCTTATTGACCCTAGTTTCGGAGGGCTTCTTCATAAACCATCACTTATAAAGAATATGTCTTCATTGAATAGTATTGTCAAGGTCAGTTAAATTTATGGGTAGTGTTTGTCATAAATTGGTGTCACTTTGAGTACCATTAATTTACAGAGAGGACCAAGCAGGCGTTTCAATTCTAGTCGGTTTAGGTGTAAGCAGTCATGATCCCCTCGGAGATCGAACGTAGGACGTTAAGGTCTTTCAGCTAGCACATTACGTTAGTACATATTTCTGACACCAAACAACTTATGATGAAGAGCAGAGATAACCCAATCCTATCATTGATAACTGTCTCAATGGTATATGACATCAGGATGAATTCTTAAAATTATTTTGGGAAATCATAGCCAGTTTAGTCCAACTATATGGGCAAAGATACTGTTATTACTAATGATATGAGGTATTTTAGTCGTTATTCTTTCGCATGAGTTTTTTGAAGTTGAGAATGTGTGTAGTAGAATTAAAAATTAATGGTTCAAAGATAACAGTTGTTGCAGGATGTGAAATTTCTGGTCTCGACCCCTGGGGATTGCTGTAGTTTCTCGCTGTTGAAGAGTCACTTGGTTGAGTTACCGTATTTGCTAACCTTACTAATCGTTTACACCTAGTACATAATAGCTAACAATTCATACATTCGTATAATACTCAATAAGATTATTACTATTGAAAACATAATTTCAATGGTCCGATTACTTTATATTGGCATACACATCGGGTAAATGGTTGAACGAAATTATAAATAGAGATCAAGCGAATAAAGATTATGTGATGACAGTTGTTTAGCACACCTTCCAATCTTAAAGGAAGTTTTTAAATTGACTGACTCTCAAATTGATCTCCTTAAAAGACACTATCATCTTGAGATGGTGGAGAAGATTTGTAGCTCAGGTGGATGATTTTGATGTAGGTCGCTCACCAACATTCTCCATCCAACTCTGTCCTGAGCCTTCCTTTCAAGTTCTTTCCAGTTGTTATTCATTCTTTTCATATCTGCTTCTATTTCCCGGCGTAATGTGTTCTTTGGCCTCCCTCTGTTCCACTTCCCTTCCGGATTCCAAGTAAGAGATTGCCTTGTAATGCACAATGATGATTTTCTTAATGTATGTCCTATCCACTTCCAACATCTTTTTCTAATTTCCTCTTCAGAGGGAGGCTAGTTTGTCCTCTCTCATAAAACACTGTTGCTGATAGTATCCGGCCAATGGATGTTGAGTATTTTGCGTGGACAACTGTTTATAAATACTTGTACCTTTCTGATGATGGTCGTAGTAGTTCTCCAAGTTTCATCTTCGTACAGTAGGACTGTCTTGACGTTCGTATTGAAGATTCTGACTTTGAAATTAGTTGACAGTTGTTTTGAGTTCCATTTGTTCTTCAATTGTAGAAATACTGTCCTTGCTTTGCCAATCCTCGCTTTTATATCTATATCCGATCCTTCTTGTTTATCAACGATGCTTCCCAGGTATGTGAACGTTTCCACCTCTCCCAGAGTTTCGCCAGCAAGTGTGACTTAATTTGGTCTGTTGTATATTAAATTAACAGTAAGCTCAACTGTGATCATTTAGCTCCTTTCAGAAAACAGATAACTTTTCCTCCAATAGGTTTTCTGAAGTTGACCTAATTTGTATGTAACGTGTGCAGTCCTTTTGGTTGAGTCTGAAGTAATACTCATTATCAGTGACTGGATATTGTGTAACATAGTGGGAAATTTACTGCAGTAGTACAGTTTCATTCATTTTCTATCCTAATTTAAATGTTACTTCGTACACCGTGGTTGTCCTTTTAATTTTTAACTTCATTGGTCTCATTCTAACCGTTTTTCTCATGTTCAGATTTTCATCTCAGTTGAAATCAATTCTTATTCTTTGATTTCAGTTCTGATAATTCCCTTTCTCTCTATAGTTATGTGTGGTCACTTAGTCATATATAGTCTACATCTATTAAAAAGGGCTAAGTTCAGTGGTCAACGGATCGGTTTCACATCCTCGTTTAAGTATTTCTGCTTTGTTCCAATCTAATATTACACTGGATAACATCACTAGTTGAGGTAAGAGAAAATGGATAATACATAGTACATGCCACAACCAACTGAGCTGGTAAAGATTCACTACCTCATCAATAGACTTGCGACATTGACCTTGTGCCTTATCTCTAATTTCAACATTACTCACTCCATGGTTTAAAACTATTCGAGTCGTGCTTCGAATACACCTATGATCAAATACTGATAACTTACGAATATCCTTGATTCTTAATGACCATGTTTCATACAGAGCAAATTGCTGCACAATTAACTCATCCCTTGGTTGGTAGACAGACATCTCACCTACGCTAAAAATAATCCAAACCAGCAAAGGCCAATTGAGCTTTCTCGAATCGTGTTGAAACTTCGAAAGACCCAAACCTATCAAAACTGATGAGACTCAAGATATGTGAAGTGGTTGACACACTCTAGTTCACTCCCGATTATTAGCTCTAGCGCTGATGAAGATGATTCCTGAAGCAACATTTTACATTTGAAGGAAAAGAATTACTCTCCAAGACTGCATGTTTTCAGAGTCTTCACCGAATCGAGTTATTCTAAGACAACAAATGAGTCTTATAGTAGGGAAAGAACCCCTAAACAGTCAGACAATAAGTGAGTTATCTGTAAAAGGTTATCTATGACGATATTGTTGGTTTTCTATTTCCTTCTTACTCTAGTAAATCTGATTAGACTTAATGATTCGTGTGATGGTTTGTCAGTAAAGGTTCACAATTCGATGTATGCTACAAGTTTATTATAATCTGATTAGTAGCCAATTCCTTACTTACTCGTTATTTTATTGATTTATACATAAAGGAAATTGATATTGGATTATACAAAGTTTGGCAAAAACATATTCAAGAGAAAATTAATGAATATACTTTCCCAGCTGATGTTCGGATGTCACCACGAACTGTTTTTACTTTATGGTCAAACAATGCTATTATACCAAAGAATGTATGCAATACAAAAAATGTATTCCGATGTCCAAATGTTTGTAAATGGTTCAATGGTCCAAATTATATAACTATGGTATCAAACTCTCATGATGAGGTATATATTGTTGTTTTTTACTTTTACTGTTATCTAAACTATACTTTCCTCCTCATTTGTTAATGCTGTAACTGTAAGAAAAAAAGATCTCGAAATCATGTTCAAAAAACATTCATTTTATCATGTCTTGTAGGTCTGGTCTGGTGTGTGACGAAATCTCAGCACGGATAAACAAGGCTTGTCTAGCTTTCGCCAACTTGCGTCATTTATAGCGTAGGCGAGTTATCCGTCTAGCAAATAAAGGACAGGTTTACTGCTCAGCAGTTCGTTCTGTCCTACTTTATGATAGTGAAATATGGCCGACAAGAGTAGAGGATATTCGTAGACTACTAGTAATTGACCATAGGTATCTTCAAAGCATTGCTTGTATATCCTGGGACCACCGGGTAAGGAATGGAGTTGTTAGGAAACGGGTACCAGGTAACGATGGCAAATCGATTAATGAAGTAGTGAAACTTCATCAGTTGAGATGGCTGGAACACGTGTTACGTATGCTCGACCACCGACTGCCCCAACGTGCAATGCTTTATAATGCAGAAGTAGGTTGGAAGAAAGCCACGGGCGGCCAGATCAAAACATGGCATAAATCCATGAAGTCGCTGACAAGCTAACTGAGCCATTTTGGTAGGTGTAGACTACCTGGTTAGGATTCGCGAGATGATAGCGACCGTTGGTTAGATACCTTGAATGACATAACTCAAAATCGTTTGCAATGGCAAAGGTGCATCCATTCTTTGTGTTCTCCCCAATTCTAATCTTCTGTACTCCTCATGTCTCTATCTTTTTCTCTTTCCAAATTTATTTCACTGTATAATATCCCTTGAATAACATCTTCAATCCCTTATCTTTCACATAATGCTTATACTCTTACTACCACTACCATTATGGGATTGGAATCGACAACTTCATCTCTGTTCTAATGTGGTATGTCAGCTCGAACTGATGCACGTACGTACGAAGTTCTACGCTGTGACTGACTCAGGCACTGAAATTGACGCTGTGACCTTGAAATCCCTCAAACGCTTCTGATTGGCTCGTCTATAAATTATAGTCCGGCTGGTCATAGACTGGATAAGCGACTTTCTCCATGATAGGAGAAAGAGGGTAAAGGCTGAATGTAGTTTACTCATCGTGGGAACCTGTAAAAAGGTGGAATTCCCAAAGGTACAATCATCGACCCTCTTCTTGTTTTACCTCATATCTTTCGGTTTACTGCTTATACTATTACTACTTCTACCACTATGGTATTTGAATCGACAACTGCATCTCTGTGTTAATGTGATATGGCAACTCGAACTGATGTACGTACGTACGAAGTTGTACATTGTGACTGACTGACTATCTTGTAGGAACAATTTTCTTGAGCTCAGGAAATTGAAGAAGCGACTCTCTCTGAATTGCAAAATATTGGAAGTTCAATTTACTACTTAATGAGGAATCGAAAATACCTCATTATTTTAATTATTAGATTTTAATACTGTCGTCAGTTTTTGAAAGATCAACTTATAGCTTATATCCACGTATCTTTGATCATCCACCAGAGCTACAAATCTCCACTATATCCAAGTATGTAAATTCATGAATTCGTTATGATCTAGTCGGTTCAAATATATTACTAGTGTAGTGAACAGAACACGACTGGGGACAATGGAATGTATTTGAGCAAAAAATTACAGACTATCTCATTAAATAAGAAGAGATGGATAGTGGCTAGCAGTGGAGTCCAGGACGCGCATCACGTCGTCCTATTTGGGACTCGTCAGCTGGATGTACCTGCATCTCAGAGTTGATGTTCACTCTGGGACTCGAACCCAGTAACTTTGGCAACAACATATTTCTGTGTGTTTTCTAATCAACTTCTGTTTTCTTCAGTTTATTTGTCATTATATGTAGATGTGACTTAAATCATATTAAGCTTTTATTGCTAGCAGAGAAACAAACATTTGACAATAATACAATTTAAATGAGTAAGCAATTATTTTGAGATGGTGGAAAAGATTTGTAGCTCATGTGGATGATTTTGATCGAGTTTTGTTCTCTGAGCTGGATGATTTGGTTGTGGAGCTTTCATCGTCTTTCTGAACAACATCATCAGCACTTCTACCCGAAGTTTGTGCTGATGATGTCGTTCAGAAAGACGATGAAAGCTCCACAACCAAACCATCCAGCTCAGAGAACCAAATTCCATCAAAAAAAGAGTAAGCAATTATTCTATTCATTAATCACAGAGGAAGGAGCAACTTATTTAATTTGTGTTTACAATTATTTCTTATCACACTCTTTGTAAATCTAGGACACCGCCTATAGTCATAGATTTCAACTTACTCCTGTTACCCCTCGTGGAGGAGCATAGGCCCCTCACCAGCATTCTCCATCCACCTTTGTACAGAGCAATCCTTTCAAGTTCCTTCCAGTTGTTATTCATTCTTTTCTTATCTGCTTCTATTTCTCGGCGTAATGTGTTCTTTGGCCTTCCTCTTTTCCGCTTCCCTTCCGGACTCCAAGTAAGAGATTGCCTTGTAATGCACATTGGTGATTTCCTTAATGTATGTCCTATCCACTTCCAACATCTTTTTCTAATTTCCTCTTCAGAGGGAGGCCAGTTTGTCCTCTCTCATAAAACGCTGTTGCTGATAGTATCCGGCCAATGGATGTTGAGTATTTTGCGTGGACAACTGTTTATAAATACTTGTACCTTCTTGACAATGGATGTAGTAGTTCTCCACGATTCATCTCCGTACAGTAGGACTATCTTGACGTTCGTATTGAAGATTCTGACTTTGAAATTAGTTGACAGTTGTTTTGAGTTCCATTTGTTCTTCAATTGTAGAAATACCGTCCTTGCTTTGCCGATTCTCGCCTTTACATCTGTATCCGATCCTCCTTGTTTATCAACGATACTTCCCTATAGATTTCAACTAGATCGTTTAATTGGCAAAACAGTCAGTTAGAAAAAAGAATATATCTGAGAAGAGATATGAATTGTTATTGTTCAGATTTATTATATTCTCAGTGAAATAGTAACTCAGTAGTATTTCACTGGCACCCTAAGTTTGTTAGAACAATCGTTAACTATTATTGGCCTTTGAGAATGGATTTGGTTTGCACTCTAATATTATAACTTTATTTCCCATATTTATAGATTTTAGCTTGGCTTACCCCATCTGCACGATGTTTTACGAGTCGTAGTGAACGAGAAAATTCATTACAGAATTGTAATTCATCCGGAATTCAATATACACCAGATCTTAGTTATGATTCGTTAATGATAACAAGGTAAGAGTGAACATCATTTTTTTGCAAATGATTCTGTAAAATTATATGTTGAGGTCTGGTTAGTTTAGGTTCATGGGTAGAAATTCTTCAATCTTGATTTAATATTTCTAGAACTTATCATTAAAGTATAACTAACACTGCTCGTACAACAACATTGAACGTATTGATAAATGGATGGTTTCCTGTAAGTTTGGAGCATGTAATGGTTGTTAGAACGTACAATACTGGATCAAACATACGTTGTTCCTATTGATTTTAGAGCTTACTTACTTAATTACACCTGTTACTCCCAATGGAGCATAGGCTACCCACCATCATTCTCCAACCCACTCTGTCCTGGGTCTTCCTTTCTAGTTCTATCCAATTCTTTTTCATTCTTCTCATGTCTGTCTCTATTTCTCAGCCTAATGTGTTCTTTGGTCTTCCTCTTCTCCTGTGGCCTTCAGGATTCCATGTGAGGGCTTGACTTGTGACGCAGTTGGGTGGTTTCCTCAATGTATGTCCTATCCACTTCTAGTGCTTCTTCCTGATTTCTTCCTCCACTGGAATCTGGTTTGTTCTCTCCCACAGTAACTTGTTGCTGATAGTGTCTGGCCAACGGATCCGAAGTATCTTGCGAAATCAACTGTTAATAAGCACCTTTATCTTCTGGATGATGGCTTTCGTAGTTCTCCAGGTTTCCGCCCCATATAGTAGAACTGTCTTGACATTTGTATTGAAAATTTTGATCTTGGTATTGGTTGACAATTGTTTTGAGTTCCAGATTGGATTAAAGCATGTTTCATGCACGATTGTGTTGCTGCACGCTAGTTGGCTAATTCTTATCCAATCAACTCTAGTCGATGCTTGGAGAAAACTCTAAAATCTTCTCATATAAAAACTATAAATATACCAACGTATTTCTTATTGCGTTTCTTACTTCCATCTATCCTTGTTTTTTTCGGAATATAATTTCTTCCCTGTTCAACAGTGTTTTGATTTGGGGACTTGTCGAACGTATTGGTGTCCAAGAATACTAAGCAATAGGATTAGCTGGGTCGTAATAAGGAGAAATTATAACAGTTATAATGTAGTGAATAAGAACACCGATTGGAGACAATCAAATGTATTTAGGCACAAATTACAGACTACCTCACTAATATCTGATAACCATACAGTCAACAGTTATATTGCAAAATAACAATCAGTTGTCTCAATCTTAACTGTTCCATCTGCAAATAATAATCCGTCTTCTCTGATTTCGTTGTTCATGCATTTTCGAACCGATTGCTCTTCGTTCCTGTTCTTTCCTTATCGATCAAAATACATTCTATGTCTGACTATCACCATATACTACTTATGTGGGTATAAGTAGACCACACCGCAATAACACGTTTACAAATGAAAAATTGCTATGTTTTGGTTTATTTTTTTTATGATCATGTTTTGGAAAGGAAGAAGTTTTTTTAAAGTCAGTATATATGACACTGAGCTTCTAAATGTTACTAATTTATCTTTCATTTCAAAACATTTTTTTCAAATTATTAATTGAACAAATAAACATTGGTACAATGGGGCACCAAATATATATGCGCCACATAATAACAATGATGCCATTAGTAGTTGTCATTGATTCGTGTGAGAGCTGTGATATTGCTCGGACGCCCAAACCGAAGAAAGTGGTTCTCTTGGAAGGAGGACACACCCAGAGCCTTTGACATAAACGTCTAATCCACAAAATAGTGGAGCAACGTTGGTAGATGCAGTCCCATTATAGCCGGTGACCAACAATAGGTTTATACAACATTTGTTCCCTAAGGATCCTGGAGCCCATATGTACCATTGGTTTGAAATCAGGGTTTTCCAACTCCTCTAGGTGGATCCTCCATATCCACCAACCCAGTTGAAGCGCCAGACATTTGCTATTCATCCTCTCAATTTTCGTGAACAACATTCCTGCTACGAAAAGGCAATGAGTTAGACTTCCGTGACAGTGGTTGTATACGCATGTCCGCGCGAGAGCATTTCGATAGAAAGAGATCTGACTCTTCCCACTCTCTGCCGTACCAGGGCATTTTATGAACACACATCTTTTACTCATCAATTCACAGAACATTGAACATTGAAACTCAGAGCATGCGTTTTGATTGACTCAAGTATCTATCAAGTGTTTTCTGAATTTGGAATATTTACCATTTCATCAAAGCATGAAGTCACTAACTTCTAGTCTAAGCCATGTTGGTAGATGCAGACTACCTGGTTGGGGTCCGCGTGACCATCGTAACCAATGGTTTGAGACTCTGTATGACATGGCTCAGAATCGATCACAATGGCGTACATGTATACACTATTCATCTTCAATTAAACCTTGAGATTAAAATTGCTTCATAACTTTCTTCCTCCCTATACTATATCCTCATATACAACCCATTTTTTATATACTGCCACCACCACCAAATTAGCTACTTCTATGAATCCGGTGTTGATCTTGTTGTGCTAACGAGGTATGGCAACATGGATCGATGCATATATGTGCCTGGTCCTACGTTGTAGCTGACTGACTGACTGATCATTTCATAACTTTATTATAGATACTATTACTTGCCTGTATTTTCTTTGTTTCGCATGATCTGATGACTTTATTCAGCTTAAAATGTTCATAGTCAGTAGTTGATTTGAAATAATTAATTAAAACAAATTCTTTTTTTCACAATTCTAAATATGAAATGACTTACTAAAGAGAAGTTAAGCAAAGAAAAATTCATGGTATATAGTTTTCTATCAACATTATAAACTATACAATATCCTAATTATTCACATATAATTTATTCCTATGTATAGTCAAAAATGTATTGATTATAGCTAAAGTAACCCGGAAATGTTACTTCAAAACAAGGTAGTTGAAAACGAATCGAAACTACTTACATCTGTTACTCCTCGTCGAGCATCATAGGCCACCGACCAGCATTTTCAATTGAACTGTGTTCTGAACAATCCTTTTCAGTCTCTTCCAGTTGCTATTCATCCTTTTTATGTCTACTTCCAATAATCGACACAGTGTATTCTTTGGTCCTGTTGTGAGACTCCTTCCACAATAGGAAGAAACGGTCTTACAGTGCTTCCAGGTTTTCCATAGTGATCTAGCTTCAATTGACTCATGATTTGAACTATACAAGATTGCTTACATCTCCACAAAACCCTCTTTTAACTATCTTCATGTCATAGATTACTGATAAACCTCTGTATATATACATTAAGGTAGGACTTGTGAAAGTTAATCGATTTTACAACTTCATACTATACTGTGGTTTCTTTCGAAGTTTTCTCCTTGTGTTTGTTTATCTTCTATAATTTCCTTCTTTCTTCCTTTCTCTTTACTTTATTTCTTATAGACAAAAGTCAAATAATAATAAATTAGCATCATCATCATCATCAACAACAACAACAACAACAGTGACCACAGCTGATTCATCTCATCATCATCATCATCATCACAATTCTACTAATGATATTGAAATTGATGAAATTAATCAAGTTAAATTAGATAAAAGTCCAACACAATTCAATGTGAATGAATCATATAAACAATATACTACTGAAATACAAAATAATTTAAATAATATATCAATGATGAAAAGAAATAATCATAATAATCATAGAAACTCTAATTTATTAAAAATTAAAAATTTAATTTCACTTAATCCGCCAAATAATTCACAACAATTCAATTTAAATAATAATAACAATCTAAAGGTGATTATGGTTCATTTTATTATTATTATTATTATTATTATTATTATTAATATTATATAGTTGAAATCATGAGTCAGTTGAAGCTAGAACACCATGGAAAACCTGGAATCACTGGACGGTCGTTTCATCCTAGTGTGAAACTCTTCAGTGGCAGTGCGCATCTACGATCCTAGCTCATGAGATTCGAACTCAGAACCTATCAGTCTTGTGAGCGAGCGTTCAACCTGTAGATCGCTGAGTTGGCATCCAACGGTGTTAATGTCTAACTTCAAACAATCCACGAAGTTTGAGCAACCGTTTACCAATTGTCTTCAGTGAGTTAATATCTTACAACAGACCTGAGGAGTCCCACAGTAGGACGAAACGGCCGTCCGGTGCTCGCGAGTTTTTCATGGTTGTGTAGCTTCAATTGACTCATTATCTCAACTATTGAAATTACTTTAATATGCACAAAACCCCTTCTGATTATTATTATTATTATTATAGGCTTTATTCAATACTATATTTTTGGTACAATATAGAATTCTCAGCATAAGCTATTTCAACAAGTTTCTATTTCTTACTTGTTGATCGATCGTGATGATAAATATTAGAGTGATTGCCAGTTAGATGTTAGCAGTCCAATCAATCAACATCTAAATAAAGTACATTCTTTTCACCGCCAGCAACTACAATATCTCTGATTGAGCCTTTTGTAACTTATACAACGAATGGTTTTATGGTTTTCCTAAAAAAACATACCTGAATAGATTACGCGATTAATAGCCATAATGATGTGTTAAAACGAACAAAGTTATATAAGTTGTTGAAATATTTAAATGACAGGAACAGGTAGCCTCAATGTTCATACAAGCCGCTATATAGTTGACAGATTTTGTTTTTGGAATAAAGTGGCATCAATCTAATCAAAATGGATAAATATCACTTAATTGATTGTTTAATAATTAATGGAAACTCTGGAGAAACTTGTATATCAATGTCAGTTTACTGTGTCAATTTTAAATACTTACTTACTTACTTACGCCTGTAACCCCTCGTCGAGGAGCATAGGCCGCTCACCAGCATTTTCCATCCAACTCTGTCCTGAGCCTTCCTTTCCAATTCTTTCCAGTTGCTATTCATCCTTTTCATATCGACTTCTATTTCCCGGCGTAGTGAGTTCTTTGGCCTTCCTCTTTTCCGCTTCCCTTCCGGATTCCAAGTTAGGGATTGAGTCGTGATGCACATTAGTGATTTCCTTAATGTATGTCCGATCCACTTCCAACGTCTTTTCCTAATTTCCTCTTCACCTGGAAGCTGGTTTCTCCTCTCCCATAAAAAGCCGGCGACCATACCACGTTGAAAGCACCGGTTCTCGTCAATTTTAAATGATAAAATATAAAAAATATGAATGATCGGATGGATTAAAAAGGGATAAATAACAAATAAACTTTAGTAGAGCTTAGACAAAGTTGGCGACGTGTTACGTATGCCTGAACACTAATTACAACGATGCTCCATGCTGACTAGTGTAGGGAATGGTTGGAAAAGAGTTAGGATCGGCCAAACCAAAAAGTGGCATCAGTGCTTGAAGTCATTAACTTCTAATCTGAGCCATGTTGGTTGATGCAGACTACTTGGTTGGTACCTGAGTGACTATCGTAACCAATGGTTAGAGACTCTGTGTGACATAGCTCAGATTGGATCACAATGGCGTAGGTGTACACACTCTTTATTTTTTCTTAAACTATGAGATTAGAATTATATTGTATCCCATGGAGATTAATAAATGGTAACTATTGAGAACTAGTTATGGACCAATATGATCCGTATATTTCCTATTGTATAATTTTTAAGTAACTAACCTAATCATATTCGTATCCCTCTTATTATAAACTTTATTTTGATCTATAGACTATTATTATACGATTTACCATTCTTGAGTTATCCGTAGCTCATTAATTACTGTCCCCCTTATTCACAGACACATTTGGCTGAATCTTGTACAAATGTTATGTTCTATTTTATGGTACGATATGGTCAGTCTGTTTGATATATAAACCCAATATGTTTGTGAATAATGAATCATATTGCAGAGGCTGTTATTAGTGTTCTGGACTTAACTGGTTGGGCTGGGCAGAAAGCAGGACTGATAAATACTCAAGACTGCTCGTACGACTTTTTTGTATCATCACTCCTCTCTAATTGGCGGTCTTATCACGTCATATATAAACTGTGCACGCACTCAATCGATATAACAAATCATTTTATACCCTTCTTTCTTTGAAATAATTCGTCCTGTATTATATCCTCATACACAATGTTTTATATACTACTTCTATTGGAGTAACTACTTTTATTAATTTGCTGTTCATCGTGTTACGCTAACGAGGTATGACAACTTGGACCAATGCATATATGTGCCTGGTTCAACGTTGTAGCTGACCGACTGACTTCAACAAGATTAAACGTCATTGATTACTTTGTACGTCATTATTGTATTGATGATTGGGAAATGACTAAGAGAGGCTCAAACACTTCAATATTCAACACTTATTTATTAAGGTAAAGAAATGATCGTTGAAAATGCAAGGTACAACACGTAATTAGACAATAAAATATTGTGGATTACTTCAACCCAAGGTTTTTTTTTAGCCGGTACTTTAAGTTAAATGAAGCATCCTCCTAAATGTGAGTGCATAAATAAAAGTTTTAAAAAAGTATATTTATATCAATTATAAATACCTACAAATCAGGATACTTCTCTTTAGACAGTTCTGTAATTTCAATTATGGTTCATACTTTTTTACTTCATCAGAATAATATTCAACCATTTTGGGAGTGTTATAACGTGTGTCCGCCAATTGTTATATTTTGTGGATCGGCAATTATTATTATCTTGTACCCACCTATTAGAGAGCAGTGATTTATGGATTGAACCAATGACACACGAAGCCTGTTTGAGCAGTTCAGAGTACCTATTAGTCCTGCTTTTTGTGTAGTTCAGCCAGTTAAGTCCAAAACACTAATAACAGCCTCTGCAATATGATTCATTATTCACAAACATACTGGGTTTATACACCAAACAAACTGACCACATCGTACCATAAAATAAGAGACAACGTTTGTACAAGATTTGGCCAAATGTGGCTGTGAATGTGGGAGGCAGTAATTAATAAACTGGGGATAACTCAAGAATGGTAAATCGTATAATAATAGTTCATAGATCAAAATATAGCTTATAATAAAAGGGATACGAATATGAATCATTTAGTTACTTAACAACTAAACAATAGGAAATATACATATCATATTGGTCCATGAATAGTCCTCAAACTTTACCATTCATAATTGTCTTTGAGGATATAACAGAGAGACTTTTTTTTTAAAACACTTCCGACAGATTATTTATTGGATCTTTATATTCTACGGAAAATTTATTGATTCATTAGTTACATAAGATGTGTATCTTGTTCATATCATTTATCAATGATGTATATTCTTCATGTTAGGTACTGCGAGAGCATTGCATATAAGGAAGGACTAATCAGTTATTATCTTTAACAATGATAACGGAAAAGTACAAACTATTCCAAATAAATTAGTAGCTATATAGACTAAGTATCACAGTGAATAACTTATTAAGTTTTGATTAGAAAGGTGTTAGGTTAGAGCTTAATTGTGGATATCAACACTAAAATACAAGTATAATAAGCTGCCAAGTTCCGAAAAGGACGAAATGTTGATCCTTAATTACGAGGACAACAACAGTTCAGATTTACTAATAATGGTAATTTATTTAACAGATTGATATTGTAGTACATGCTAGTGATATTAATTAATCCTCATGAGATATCAACTCACTGAAGACAATTGGTGAACGGTTACACAACTTTGTGGATCAGTTGAAGTTAGACATTAACACCGTTGGATACCGGCTAGCTCAGTGGTCAATTGGTTAAGTGCTCTGGTGCGAGACTGGTAGGTCCTGGGTTCGAATCTCGCGAGTGCGGGATCGTGGATGCGCATTACCACTGAGGAGTCCCATAATAGGACGAAACGGCCGCCCAATGCTTCCAGGTTTTCCATGGTGGTCTAGCTTCAAATGGCTCACGCTTTCAACTATGAAAATACTAAAATCTCCACAATACCCCTTCTGATAGTTGATATAATCTTCATTAGTTACATAACATGTTTATATTGATTATCAATGATGTTTTTTTCTTTTTTTATTTTTCAACAGATCCCATATCCTTATAAATCATACTTTAATCAATCACGTCAATTATCCAGTGAGACTGATCAAAATAATTATTGATTTATTAACAAATCGATAAATCAATATGAAAGTGCGTGTGTGTGTGTGTGAGTAGTTTCTAGGCACTTTTTCTTAAAATAAAATTGATTCTTCAAATCAGTACTCAATATATTTCTTTATCAATTTTTTTTTAATTTATTATTTCAACAATATTAAATAAATTATTATGGGTTTTATATCATATATGTTACATTCTAATATGGTAATATATTACAATCCCAGTCGATATTAGTCAGTCAGTTAGTCAGTCACAACGTAGAACTTTGTACGTACGTACGTACATCACTTCGAGTTGCCATACCACATTAACACAGAGATGCAGTTGTCGATTCAAATCCCATAGTGGTAGAAGTAGTTAGAGTATAAACAGTAATCGGACAGATTAGGGTTTAAATATTTTATTGAAGGAGTATAATGCAGTGAAATAAATTTGGAAAGAGAAAAAAGAAAGGTATATGAAGAATTCAGAAGATCAGAATTTGGCAGAGAACACAAAGAGTGGATGCACCTTCGTCATTGTAAACGATATTGAGCCATGTCATTCAAGGTCTCTAACCATCGATTGCTATCATCTCGCGAATCCCAACCAGGTAGTCTACACCTACCAACATGGTTCAGTCCAGTTGCCAGTGAATTCATGGATTTGTGTCACGTTTTGGTTTGGCCGCCCCTAGCTTTCTTACAACCTACTCCCAGTCGGTGTACTTCAAAATTGAGTTATTATTTGTGTCTTGTTAAAGTTCTAGTTCAACTGAAACTAATGCTAGTTCGTGTCGTTTCAAATTCCTTACTGGTATCATTTTAAACATAGATTCTAGTAATTAATGCTTCACTGCGGTAAGTGAAAGATTAATCAGCATGCTTCGATGTTTAGTGTTTGTCAAATAACTTTATGAAGATAAGGTTTGATGACTGTTATTCATGAAGAAAACTGTAGTTTAATCCTATTCTACTTTCGTTCAATAAACCAGAAATATCTAGGATACGTTTTTCGTTTGGTACTGTTTTGTATCAGCCAAGCTGTTTCCACACGTACTTGATACACTTTTCTCAGATTCTTTTCACGTCACACGAAGGAATTGAAGCTTTTTCGATGTCAACAGTTTTTGGAGGTATTGTTTTATTGTATTTTGGCTTCCATATGTAACTTCGATGTGTGAGACTTGTTCATTGATAATTGAAGATGTCAATATTACGCAACAAATCTTTTTTCAGTATCAGATGTCTTATGGGTCTGCGAATTTATGGCCATATAATTGCGTAGGTGATATTTTGAAGAAACATTTAACAATTGACATTGAAAGTTGTTAATGTTGTATGATGATCATTGCATAACTATGAATAAAAGCACTCGGTTTATTATTTTATGTGAATCCAAAATGTATCCGATATCAACAATCACTTCAGACTCAAAAGGATGCATTTGTAGTACCAGTTGAAAGAATAAGGTTTAGTCTGTTGTTTTAATGAGTAATATCTCTCAGTACCTCCAAACATAAAAATTGAAAGTCAAAACAAAAGATTCTTAATAACGGCTTACGAAACAGTGATTAATTATCCATAACATATAGAGTAGTTGTCAAACGATCCTTAATTCTGAAGGGTTAACCATAATGAAATGCAAGTAGTTATACCTATGATCACGATTCATTCTAATCCAAGCTTAGTGGTTGACCACGTTGATAGATATTTCAACTAAGGTGTGTTATTAATCAATCACAACCATCTCCGAAATAATCTTGTTGATGTTTCGTGTCATTTTGTGTCGAATTTGTTAGGTTATGAATTATTAGATTGTATCCCAGCCAAACTGTGATGAGCCGAAAAGGTTTACGAATGTAACTGAATAAGCTATAACATTTAACAAGAAACAAGTATATACATTCTACTGAAGTGACTAAATCCATTTATAGTCCCAAAAGAGAAAAGAAAATTGTGCAGTATACTTGTTAATGACTGAATAACTAAATGATATTTCAACTATGTGTCACAGATAATGGTCTTCATTGACATTGCTTGGTTAAATATGAAAAGAGAAGATTTGATATAGATACTGGAGAGAGATTTAAATTCACAATGATTGTACAACCCAAATGAAAAAATTTATTTTAAACTAAGAAGAAGCCATTTCTCAGATTCATTCAATAATTTTGCTCTTACTTACTTACGCCTGTTACTCCCAATGTAGCATAGGCTGCCCACCATCATTCTCCAACCCACTCTGTCCTGAGCCTTCTTTTCTAGTTCTATCCAGCTTTTGTTCATTCTTCTCATGTCTGTCTCCATTGCTCGGCGTAATGTGTTCTTCTCCTGTGGCCTTCAGAATTCCATGTGAGGACTTGCCTTGTGATGCAATTGGGTGTCATCCTCAAATTGTGCCCAATCGACTTCCAGTGCTTCTTCCTGATTTCTTCCTCTACTGGAATCTGGTTTGTTCTCTCCCACAATAGGTTGTTGTTGATAGTGTCTGGCCATCGGACTCAAAGTATCTTGAGTAGACACCTGTTAATAAACATCTTTAACTTCTGAATGATGGCTTTCGTAGTTCTCCAGGTTTCCGACCCATACAATAGAAGTGTCTTAACATTTGTATTGAAAATCCTATATTGCTCTTATAATATTGTTAAAAGTATTCAAAGTGTAACATTACTTAATATATATGACAAAAGTGGTCAATATACAATTCATAATGATCTGTCAATTCAACAAGAATCTTCTCAAAAAAATGTGATCAACTTTTCACATAAAAATATCAAACCAAGCAAACAGCATTCTTAAAAGATAGTTGAAGAGCAACAGTAATTGAATCGTCTAAATTATAACCTTAAATGTAATTAAACAATACTTTACTATCAATTGTATTGGCTTTACATAATGAAATAAAGATAAACCTTAATCAGAATCAAATAATAATAGTTAGACATTAAGTTAGACAGTTAACACCGTTGGATACCGGCTAGCTCAGTGGTCAATTGGTTAAGTGCTCTGGTGCGAGACTGGTAGGTCCTGGGTTCGAATCTCGCGAGTGCGGGATCGTGGATGCGCACCACCGCTGAGGAGTCCCATAATAGGACGAAACGGCCGCCCAATGCTTCCAGGTTTTCCATGGTGGTCTAGCTTCAATTGACTCATGATCTCAACTCTATAAAATAATAGTTAAGTTAAGATAGGATGATAAATTATGAAAATATAGTTACATCATTCCTGAATAGAAGTTTACGTATATAAATGGGAAGAAATAACAGTATTGTCGAATAGGACATATTGGAGGAATTTCTTGAATATTCATTCTGTTGTAATTATTTTCTGTATAATATTCTTGTCTTTATATGTTGACTTACGTATTACTAAGCTTATGCATACTTATGTATAATGTAAACACCAAACGACAATATGGACTGTGGCTGCAGTGCCAAAACGTTTCCTCTGATTTACATCAAGTATTTGAACTGATAGTAACTCCTAATTACGCAATTTATGAGCTTAGACTAGATGGTGGTTGGAGGTGGTCAACAGGAAACCTTGGACCCGGGTCTCGTGCTACTTGACACTCGTCAGGAAGGTGTACTGTAATCTTGAGGGACCACCTCCAACCACGCACGCAGTGTCCAGCTGCTTAGACTAGTGGCCACATTGAAAATTGATCGATAGCATTCGATTAGCACTAAATACGGACTTGACACGCATGACATTGATAACCACCCAGTGATTAATCAATTGTGATATGAACTTAGACTCTCATAATATTAGGGTTAACAGTTCACTGATTTGGTTTGCTCGAATGGATTTTGTTTATAGCACAATGTGCCCGATTTCATACAACAAGATACTTGCATGTAATAGGTATGCTATTGATCGACCTAATTGAACAACTTGCAGTATGACAAATTTTAGGCAGTAGTCATTTAAACCACATCAGCCTCTGATTAGAAGAGACTACAATGAATATCAAGTGTGAGAGATCTGGGGGATGAGGAAACTACCACAGCTTTTATGTTAGATAAAACATTTAGTTGGGTCATAAAAATTAGATAAGGAAATATTAAAGCAAATATAGTTGCAACGGTTACTGAATAATGTTTGACGGATTGTCAATGTGCCAGGACGAACAATCACTCTTGATCTGGCAGATAAAATTATCTAAGTGTATCCAGACTATCAAAATCCAAACATGTTGTAAACTACCGATGGAATGAGCAAAAGTGACGTAGCCGCAACTCAACAGCATTTGTTTGATTTATCTAGTAAACTCGTGGCTCTACAAGCGACCGTATCCACTGATCGTGTGTGACGTCTTGAGTCATCTCCCATAAAGTGACCATTCCGCAGGCCCAACTCCTGATCACATAAATCAACGTCATTAACTTATTTGAATAATCAGAGGTACAGTGTCGAGTTTCGTGGCTGCATGAAACCATACAAACTTACGTTCGACGAAGAAGAGACTTGGAGAAATGTGACACCCAGACCATAATGGCTGCGTCTATTTCTGGCCAGCTGACAGTGAAATTCACAATATTCAGGTCGTCTAACCCAGAAATATTGTTTCAATTTTAATAGCTGAATTAATGAGTTTATCTAAGATAGGTCACCACTAAAAATTTAGAATCACTGGATGATCGTTTCTTCCTGGTATGGAACGTCTCAACAGTGCTCATCCACGATCCCGCATGCCGGAATCAAACCTAGGACCTTCGGTCTCACTCACGAACGCTTGACTTCAGGACTTCTGAACCGACATCCAGTGATGTTAATGTCTGACTTCAACTGATCCATGATCATACACAACACTTCATCCAATTTCATGCTATCCCCGGGTAGTTCGAAGATCACAAAAAGGGAATTCAAACACAACATGCAGCTAGGTATCATACAGTTATCAGCATCTCAGCATTTTTATATCCCTGTATACAAGCTGCTACAAAACTCATCAGAGTTTCGTCTGGCCACAAATTAATGGTTCTGTATAACTGAAAGCTGAACATAGGGCCAGTGCATCGAACTTCAACGACATGCAGCGCCGCAGACAAATTTCCATTACCTACCTAACGTTTCCAGAATGTCCATTTAGTCACAGTCGGCCTCTTTCCAATATCCAAACCTTCACATATATCTTTACTACCGTCAAACGATTTATCAAACGGGATCTGGCATGCTCATTAAAGAATACATCAACAGAGTACATGGCCTCCGTATTTCTTCACCGTTTGTTGTCG